CCATAAAAAACGATAACTTCACACACAATTTCAATATATATCACGTACTACTTATCATCAAATATATACATATATATACACTTGTTATAGTATATGTATGCTAGTTATGGCGAACTGATGTGGTCAAATCAAGTTTGTTAACCAATTCCCGTGACTGTCATGAGATGGTTTCGGATCGATGGATTTGTGAATGGGACTGCGGTAAACAAAACAAAAAAATGATTCAGTCATTTGAATTACTTTGAAAATTTCTCAATCCTGTTCAGAGGAAACATAAAGCTAAACTAAAACACACTTCGTTCATTAAGGATCCTAACACATTACGAAATGGCATCATCAAAGCCCCCAAAGCACGTTGCGTTACTAANTTTGGGTTATTCGAAGCAGACCTATTGCCTCGTTTGCTTCGAATTCATGGCTATTTGGTGACCAAAAGGCACCCGAACTTCCGGAGAAAACAGCAATCAAAATAGTAAATGGGTTACAATCTAAAACCTATGGTGAGAGGTTGTATATTCTCGGACTCCATATGTCTGAATACCGTCGATGACGAGGAGCCATGATCGTCGTAGACCAAATACTGCATCAATCTAATCCACCAATGTAGTATTCTACTAATACTATGCAGGAATGGTCACCTCCGAGGACATCCGTTTAAACTTTTGCTACAAAAGAGTCGGCTAGACTACAGGCGTTACTCTTTCAGCCTCAGAGTTCTTTTATACCTCGAACTCTCTTCCACCTCAAGTTGTTTGTGCACCAGCTATCGATTCATCCAAGTCACGACTGGATGAAGCTTTGAAACAACTAACTCTGTTCAGCACCCGTGAGGGAACGTTATAATTTACTATTCAGTTGTGCTACCAACCGAACCCAGTGTGTGCGGATCTTATGGAATTCAATAAGCATCACTATAGTAAAAAGTTGAATTTGAATGATGTTAGAAACACTGAAATTTATAGGTAATGTTCTGCAGTATTTCGTCCTATGGTTTTACTTTATCATCAATCTACGCACGAGTTTTAGGATTTTTTTTCTACCCCGCTTTCTTCAAATGGCTCGAACTCGAATCGAGTTCCTGATAGACTGTTTTCTGTTCAATTCTTGCACTCACCTCTTCCTCCTCCTCCTCCTGTACACTGTCTCCAACTCACACACACGCGTCCGATTGTCTTGAACAGCCACTATTCCCACCCCCAGTGGCGGTCTATCCGCTTTACGAGACCGATTCGAAACCAAAGGCAACAAGACCAACCCAACATCGAATGGGCCCTCGCCAGCGCAACAGCGCATCCTAGAAGAACGTGCACGTTGGGAAGCTGAACGGAAACAGACGAGCGAGAAGCAGCAACACCAAGAACAGACACAACCCGTTAAAGATGAAACCAATACAACTCAAACGGGTCCCAATATACTGGTTGGGACGGAATCCTCATCACCCGTATGTGCATCTTATTGTTTGCGGTGTTGGAAAAACTCCATACACATGTATTTTTATGTTATGCATAAAGGTTTTACGGGAGTATTCTGGTGACAAATTGTGCCTGTGGATGCTCTCTCTCTCGTTCTTGATTTGCATTTATCTTTTTTCTGTGATCCTGCCGTCTATTAGTGNCTAAAGCATCCTTTTTAAGTCAACCGGAAATCCTGATTCAACGCCCGAGTCAGCTTATTTTTGGCTATTATTGTTTGACCGTGCACACAAAGATCTCGTTATGTCAAACGGCCAATTGCACACGGAATGAGAAATCACCGAAGGCCCCGCGACAGGATATTTTGGATGTTGAACTGGACTGCAGATAGTTCTTTTTTTCGTGACCTGTGTAGGGCGTAAACAGCCGTCGGAGGTTCATGCAAGAAAAGTCCCCGGCTGACTTCCTGTTTTTGTGTCCCCCGAAAAATGATAAACATGATGGATAGTGCGTTAAGATATGTGATAAAACATATACTACTTCTATCATACGCATTTTGCAACTCTATTCGTGGAGCGCAGTTTCGTTGTCATTCAACCTAATCCAGGTCTGATGCGATTCCCTATTCCAAGTTCGAGAACTTAGATTATTACGGTTGACCAGTAGATCCGGGTGATTGTGGCATTCGTCTCTTTTTACTGCGTCTCATACGAAGCTGTGCAATTAGAAAAAGAAACTGCATTTCCTATTTCACGGACCAGAGAAGGTCAGAATTTTCACCACCGTCACAAATTCGATATTTATCCAACTGATTCCCGTATGATCTACCAGTTCACCGGTAGCTGTACTCACTCACAAACGAGTAGAACGAGCCATCGAAGCAGTTCAATTCTAGCTAGTTCTGCTTAGTCAAACCGTCTACGGGAAAAAGGGGTGAATTTGTTTAGCGTGACACGTACTCTACATATTCATCATTATTTTTTTCTTGGGGCTGCTATATGGTAGAAATATTCTAATCGTGGATACGCGTAATATGAACAAGTGTTGAATGAGTGGTGTTGTTCCAAATGAGTAGGGAAGTATAAGACAAGCTCAAAAGGGTTGCTCAATACTGAATACGTTGTTCATTTTCTTCAGTTTTCGTTTTGTACAATCATTAATCACACACACGCTTTCGTGCGTCGGTTTTGGTTGCTCTCTTTCGGCTAGCCGTTTGAATGAACAGATAGGAGGACAAAGATGGGAAAATTGAAAGTAGTAGAGTCGAAGAGAAAATGGAGAATTTCAATCTGCTAAGATTGCAAAGAAATTGCGAAAATACACGAATGCTACTGTTTATGACACTGAGCCATATTACTCAGTGTCTCTAACCATCGGTTATTCTAATCCCGAGTTCCCCATCCAGCGAGCCTAAAGCTACCCATTTGAGACCGGGTATCCTGGCTCTATCCTTGTTCTAGCGCACCGCGTCTACATTTGGGCAATTTTTTTTATCCTCATCGCGGTGATCTAATTAACCGTGTACATATTCCTTTTTGATAGTAATACTAAGACACGGATGAGATATCCACACTTTTTATAAGTGCTACACCCACCGTTCAATAAGTTATCTGGTTTGCTGTCATAATCTTTCTCACTGTATAAATGCACTGTTAAAAACTCCGTATTGCATCCATTCACATGACTGTATGGTTCCATTCTGTATCACCATCATCAAGTGTGGTTGGAGTACTTTTCTCAGAAATTGAAAACCAAGTCACTGGATGCTTGCGCATCCACACACACACAGCTGGGTGGTGTTAAATTTTAGGCGGACTCTGTGAGTGAATACCCGGGGTGACATCACGTGTAGCCTGTTGCTCGCCACTGGCACTGGTATGTCACCTGCCGTCGCGTAAATGTGCAGGCTATAGCCCTTGTTATGCTTACTGATTCACTGTGTACGAGGCATATCACATCGCGAATAGGAGACTCCAATTCGCTTTTCAAAGGGGGGCAGGGGTTGTATTTCAAGGAGAGAGAAATTCTGTTGAGCGACCAAATACTGGTGTTCATCCTCAGTATGTCAAGACTGATTTCAGTAGCGCGGCTAATGTCCGATTATTGTTATCCGAACGCATATGACAACGTGCTGATTTAAACCGGGTTAACGATTTAATGAATGATCTTGAGAATACGTCAACTGATGAAACGATAGTCTAAGACTAGATCAAGCTGGCTCACGACAAAAAAGACCTGGAAAGGTATTTATTGGTCAGTGTCTGTCATGAACAACTGTATCACGTGATTGGACGATCAATGAGAACTGATGGTGAAATGTGTACGTAGCACACTGACAATGCGAAGATGAATACCAACTGTATGCACCAGAAACTTAACTGACCTTATTTCGTCAAGATATCCGTAGCCAGCGCTGTTGGTCTGCCACGTCATTGGTTCGATGTCCCCGTCGGTAAATAATAATGCCCACGTATTTTCTAAACCTTTTCAACTTCAAGTGAATCCAACCCTCGCACCCCCACAAGATTATTGGTGTTTCGGCCGTCAAATGTCACCCATTGGACCGGGTCTGTCTAAACCCCGTCCAGTCCGAATGAACTCACTCCCCCGTAAACAAACAAAAGTACTTTTTAGTGAGTTACCGAGCAAAGTTGAATGTTTCTGGGGGGAGGGGGGTTGAGGTGGGCCGTTCTCCCCGCCCCCCCTCGACACACCCGTTCCACCCGAGAACGTCATGTTCGTGATCGTTGACCGAGTGTTCGTCATAGATACGAATGAACGAACGCGGAGTTCATTGACCTCTGTCAGTCGGTCGAGTAAGGAAGCGAATCACGTCAAGATGGATCGATAAGTCGGTCACCATGCCCAAAAGTGAATGTGAGCCTGAATCATTGCATGAGTGGAGTCCGTCCAAGTCCTCATTAACCCATTGAGGCCGAGTTTCTCTCGAATAAAACCGATTTCTTTGAATCAAATGCGATTGCTTACGTATTTCTGACATTGAAATGCACATTTGACAAGATACCTAGCATGCATAAGATGATGGGGATGACTACTGCAGTTAGTTTCTCCCCTCAAATCCAATTGTTGGTGATTATTTTGACCAAACTGGAATCGCCCTCAACGGTTGATAGCTTGTACCATTTACACCCTAACGATAGGCAAAATGTCGACCTGCCCAACCTAGCCTACTGTTTTTACATGATTGTTCGGTTTTAACGATGCATGAACTTACCACCTCGATTTTTCTTTAATCACCAAGTGCCCTGGAAACTGCCTACCGAGGGACTGGTTCTGTATTAAATTATCGACAAACACAAAGTGGATAACCAGCACACTGTAATTGTAAATGTGCCTTAAAGTCTACGAACTATCTAATGCACCCAGCCTGTCGACTCCAATTATGATAGAACTTTCCGACTTATATCACCCATTCCCAAAAAAGTTCTGTGATTAGACAAAGATCAGATGTATTAAAAATCAAGCAGTTTGATTGCTGTTGGATAACGTACACGAACATGGTTAGTTGCATGCTGACAATGATCCTTCGTGATATGAGACTTGACATCACTAGCAATGCTTTCCAAACATGCCATCCTCCAGTCCTGTTGGTTCATTTGTCCTTCGGGATCACCCGTCATAATCTTGGCATGCTGATTTCGTTTTGATGTAACTATTCGGAATGCTTCATATCATTTCGATGGGATTCAACGCTGGAGAATGTGGAGCAAGTCTGAGAATGCTCACTCTTCCTGCGGCAACGACGTTTTCCAGTTTAAAATGACATAGTGCGTTGTCACACACAATCAAATATGATTTGTGCTCTACTTGCAGTAATTGATCAACCAACGTTTGCAACCATTACACACACAATACGGAGTTGTAGGATCCTCTTTTCAGAATATATTTCAACGACCCATCAGCATTCATAGCACCTATGATGTGCAGATTTCTTCCTCTTGAACTGGCCACTGGTATCCGACACCTTTGACCTCTTGGTGCACGCCCATAATTTCTTGAACAATGTAGGTTGAAGTTGGTCCCATCAATCCATGTAATCTCATGTCCAAGTGCCATTGCAAGTTTTGAACATATCTAGGAAGAAATGACTCAAAAACAGATCGTTACATTACCTTTTCCTCTTCTCTTTATTATCCAGTAAGTTCATCGTTACTGGTATTTGATGAATCTTTTTGATTGTAATCAGTTTCCCATCTAAGTAGTTGTAATGGAAACTTTTTTGTCGTATTCAGCCTTGAGTTTCATCCGTAGAAACGACAGAGTCACAGTCGGATTCTCCTCAATCCATGAAATGAGTTTCTCTACATGATGATTTGATAACTTGTTGAATCGTCTTCCTCCGTGGGTGAATTCTGACGGTTCTTCTTGATGTGTTATCCATGTCATCGCTGTCCTTTTCTCCACACCAAGTGATGCAGCGACCATCAACCAGTCATCAGCATTATCGTGCGCTCGTAGTATACTACATTTACGATCCATTGCAGTATGCCACACCACGGAAATAAGATGTAATTGCCAGGTGGTAATTCAGAGGATATTTTTATCAAGTAGGTAAACTAATCCACCAATGATTATCGCATTTTTGAACAAGAATCTGAACTTGTCAGTGTCCCTTGCACCTCGCGAAATACTCCTATATGCCCAAGCATCTCAAATGGCGTCTGCTGCAGAAGCCCTACTCACTACCTTCTCGTGGCGGAGGTGTTTTCCCACCAAAGTGAAAGGACAAAAATCCGACATCCGGGGATATAAACGAATTAGTGGACCCCTGGCAGTTCACCTAGGGAAGTTAGCCAAAAGACTGATTCCAAACCAACCAAGAAGAGGCGTACGAACCAAACACACACCTTTTCGGTTGTGGCAATGGCCACTGGCTCCAGTGGGCATCGTGGTGTATTAGGTACCTTGGATATTTGACCCCGTCCAATGAACTGGACACCGGCCCCCGATGGACTGCGGACGCTGAGCTCAGTCCTGTTGTTTTACAGGTCTGGCTTTCTAGTCAAAAGCTCCGGGTGGGGACCCCGCGGTTATCTCCCCTTCCTCGGTCAGGGCAACCGGAAAGTAACATGCCCACACAACCTATGAACATATTCTTCAAATTTCTTTTTGTTCATTTGTTGTGGCACATTTGCCAGTTCTCTGTAATTGGCTACGTGTTGAAATAAATAAAAATAGTAGGTCGTTTGAATACACACTCCATTCAACATCTTAAGCATGAGTGAAGTATGCCTGTTGATGAAGCGTAAATGCTCTTGGCCCATTGACGTAATCTGGCTTTGAATAAGTGAGTCGGTTCGACTTGGTTAGTTGTGATTAGGAAGTGTTTGTATAGCCGATGCTTATTGCATTGTTATTCAACTGATCTCCCGTGACCTGCGATTTCCGTTTTACTCATTGATGTTTTGAGTTTTTTTTTGTTCTCTGCCAAACACCATTCCCCCCCCCCATCGGCTTCGTAGAAAACCAACTCAGGCTCTCGTCCAATCCCGCCAACAACACCTACCGAACCAGCTATGGAACCAAATCCACCACCGACGGTGGCAGCTGAATCAGTGCCAGAAGCACGGTCGACGGAAGAAGCAGTAAGTTTTGTGTGAATACGTTTCGGTTTCTCTGTCCAGCTATTGTGCTTTAACTGTGACTGAATAAGCCGCGCAGTATGATTTCGAAACATTCCCAGATGTCGTTTTCCTTGTCGGTCAAACGAGAGTTCGGTCTGCACAACCGGCATGGCCCCTGCACTTTCATGGATACCTTTCAAGGTACGCTCCACATCGGTATCACCAACAGGTCCCCCCACCATTCTACTGAGAATTACCCCTGATGAAAAGGTGTGTTTGTGGAAAAGTTGAGGCGTACATGGCCCGAACACGCCGAAACAGATAGATATTACTTTC